CCTTCCCCACACACAGCCCGCACGGCCACCACCGGCCCCACGCAGCTACGCCGCGCAGCTTTCGGCGTAGCACTCACTGCCTCCTCTTCCTCCTCTTCCCCGTCCCCCTGACTCGGCTCCTCGGCCGCCGCCATGTTCCCGCCCCTCCTCGGGCCTCAGCGTCACCGGCCACGCCCGCGCAGGGCCGCCATCTTGACTACGGGCAGCCGCTCCCCGGGGCCCGCTGCGGCTCTGGCCGCGCAAAGCGCTCCCGCCGGCACGCCAGAGCGCCGCTTCCGTGTCCCCGCGCAGGCCGCCCAGGCCCCGTCCTCGGTCCTTTCCTGAGAGGGGCGGGGGGTTCTGCCCGCTGGGGAAGTGCTGCGACCTAGGGAACCCTCAGGCTCCCCGCGCAGGTGGGAGGAGAGGACCTACGAGGGAGGAAAACGCCGCGTGCGAGGGAAACGGGAGGGCCTGATGTTGGCACGACCCTCCATTTCTCGGAGAGGAATTCCTAATATCGCGGGAGCACGAATCCTCAATTCACGGTCCCCCAGCCAAGTCCAGGGCACGTTTCAGTGAAACACACAGTGAGCGCCCACTGCACACAAAGCCCCGCGCTGGAGAGTGGGCTTGGGCGTCACGCCTGCCAGAGCGGAGGATGTAGGAGAGGTAGATAAAGGGACCCGACCGATTATACATTAATCAGTGTGCCCTAGGTGCTATAAGAGATACAAATTGTGATGGGAATACTAAGAGACCTGGGGAAGTGAAGTTTTGAACAGAATTTTCTTAAAGCAACCTCATCGATTCTTCTGATTCTTTGTATGTGAGACGGGATGGTCTAGCTCCCAAGAGCATGAGCGTTGGAGTCTGCTATGTGAACGGTTCTGCTGAGTTAGGAGCAAGCCCTGAGGTGTTGGTTATTGTGAGGATTAAATGAGATAATATATATAAAATAGATTTAGCCCAGTATTCCGCACGTGTTAAGCATTTAATGTGCATCTAATCTATTAGTAGTAGTGTACAAAATTTTAGAGTATTATGACTTAAAAAACATTTCGTATGTATATTTTCAGCTTCTTTGTACAAACACAAACACCTTTTTTTACAAAAATGTCAGAATTGTACATCTGTTTTTAACTTGCTTTTCTCACTATTTACAGTATCATGGATGTTTTTCCATGATAAATATGGATCTACGTCATAATTTTTAGTAACTGCGTTGTATTTATTGTGTAATATTGATATTACACAATATTTTAGTAAACATCTTTGTACATTTTTACCCGGCTGCCCCATTAAACGGATAGGATTTCATAGCTTAAGTTGAAATTGTAGATTTGAATTCTAGCTTTGAAATGTAATAATTGTGATCTGGCACAGGCTGGTACACTTTGTCAACCTCAGTGTTCTTATTTATTAAGTGAGAATAAAAACATTTATACTTACTGTGTATTTTTTATTTGAAGATTAGATCATGTATCTAAAAGTACTTTGTAAATTGAAAAATTACATAAGTTGTCGGATTTTATTGGGTTAATGGGAGGATAAAGAGGAGGACAATCCAGGCTGAGGGACCAGCAGGTGCAAAGGCTTGAGGAATGAAAATAGATGTGTTTTAGTATGAAGATTTCTCAAAAAATTAAAAATAGAAATACCATACAATCCAGCTATCCCACTACTGGGTATTTATCCAAAGAACTTGAAATCAACAATACAGAGAGATCCATGCACCCCTATGTTCATTGCAGCATTATTCACAATAGCCAAGACCTGGAAGCAACCAAAGTGCCCATCAACTAACGAATGGATAAAGAAGTTGTGGTATATATATACAATGGAATAATACTCAGCCATAAAAAAAGACAAAATTGTCTCATTTGCAACAACATGGATGGACTTTGAGGGTATTATGTTAAGTGAAGTAAGCCAGACAAAGAAAAACACCGTATGATTTTACTCACATGTGGAAGATAAACCAACACATGGATAAAAAGAACAGATTAGTGGTTACCAGAGGGAGAGGGGGTGAGAGGGTGGGCAAAAGGGCACATATGTATGGGTGATGGATAAAAACTAGAATATTGGTGGTGAGTACGATGCAGTCTATACAGAAACTGATATATAATAATGTACACCTGAAATTACACAATGTTATAAACCAATACGACCTCAAGAAAATAAAAAAAGGCCGGCCAGCCCGGTGGCTTAGCAGTTAAGTGCGCGTGCTCTGCCTCTGGCGGCCGGGGTTCGGATCCCGGGCGCACACAGACGTACCGCTTCTCCGGCCATGCTGAGGCTGCGTCCCACATACAGCAACTAGAAGGATGTGCAACTATGACATACAACTACCTACTGGGGCTTTGGGGGAAAAAATAAATAAATAAATAAATTTATAAAAAAAAAGAAAAGGAAAATAGGTGTGTTTTACAAAGTTGATGTAATAACTCAAGATTCCCTTTCAAATAAACAAGACTCATACTTCTAGTTAAGCTGCTGCTTTATTATTTCTGAAGTAATTATTTCTATTTATTTTGAATGATTTATAAAAGGATATAGAGTAAAGAGTAAGCCTTCCATCCCTGTCCCCTAGCTCCCCTTTCTATAGGCAACCATTTTTACCAGTTTCTATGTATCCTTTCAGAGATATTCTATGTATTTACAAAAACGTGTATACAAAATCCATAGAGTAATTTAAATATTATAACATAGCACATAGACTAAAAAGCCATTCCCTTGGAAGGAAAGAAGACGTTATTATGTTGGCCACATGGCCAAGAGCTCGTGCCCTTTGAAAATCAGCTTAAAGGTTGAAACATCTCTCAGACAGGAAACAAAAACTTACTGGGCAGAATAACCCATCAGCATCAGCTTTAAGAGAGGGAGAAAAAGAAGACTTTTGGTGATTGGGAGGAATTTCCATGGTCTGTAATTGGAGTCCATTCTTAATACCTTCTACTCTCAATCCTAAAAAAGATAATAAGGCCCAGATGCCAAGTGAAAAAGACTTAATTATTTTCACTTAAAAATAGAAGCAATTGGGCCAGCCCTAGTGGCCCAGTGGTTAAGTTCAGTGTGCTCCACTTTGGCGGCCCAGGTTTGGTTCCCAGGTGTGAACCTACACCACTCTGTTAGCGGCCATGCTGTGCTGGCAGCCCACATACTAAAAAATAGAGGAAGATTGGCACGGATGTTAGCACAGGGCGAATCTTCCTTAGCAAAAAGATAAATAAAAATTAAAAAATAAGGGGCCAGCCCCGTGGCATAGCAGTTAAGTGTACGTGCTCCGCTGCTGGCAGCCCGGGTTCGGATCCCGGGCGCGCACCGACACACTGCTTGTCAGGCCATGTTGTGGCAGTGTCCCACATAAAGTGGAGGAAGATGGGCATGGATGTTAGCTCAGGGCTGATCTTTCTCACACACACACACACACACACACACACACACACAC